AATATTTTATTTGCTTTGATATATCTGAATTGTTTAATAAAAATAAGCCAAGTAAATTTTAAGTTTGATTAAAGAATGGACAAATGATCTACCATAAATATGAAACACGAAATCAAAACCTCCTAAAGCCCTTTAGGTTTAATAAGCAGTATCAAAAAAATTACAAAGAAATTTTCTTGATAATCTTAATAATCACAGTAAAGTGAGATGTATAATTTAATTTTGTGAGACATTTTTTTTTATTTAGCTTGAGTAATTTATAAATTTTTTTTTTGTTTTGATTTAGGATGGCTTGAGTAAAGTGTATGCATGATTTTTAAACTTTTGTTTTCTTTTTTTTTTGTCTATTTTAACTATTATTATTAATTTACTATTTTATTTTTATTTATTTAACAATAATAATAATTAAATAATTTGAACTATAAATTCTATCAAACTATGAATGATGATTATTTTTGTTTATAATTTTATTACCGTATTCTTAAAAAATTAAAGCATTTAATAAAAAATAATTCGTATTATAAATAATAATTAATATAAGTTTTATTTTTAACAAAAAAATTTTATTTGACTAATACAAATAAGAATAAAATATTATTTTTTAGTTTGACGAATATTGTATTTTTGTTTCTTTTTTTTGCTGTTGCACTTCATTACTTTCTTGAACCTCTTCAGTTTCTTGTTCTTGTTCAACTATATCCTCATTTATATCAATTGGTTGAATTTCATTTTAAGGATTATCTTTTGTTTTAATTTCAGATAAAGTTAAAGAAGCGAGTTTTGGTATTATTTGCATTTAAAGTAAATTTGGTGCTTGATTTTTTCCTTTTTTATTAGATTTTGTTGAAAGTGATTTCGCTATTTAGCAGCTGTTAGAGTTGATGATTGAGTAGAGGAATCATCTTATCTTTTCTCCCAAGCATAATTTGAAGGTTTATGAGTTATTGAATAAGGTGATTCAATAAAATTGATTTGTGTCATTCTAATAAGGAAAAGGTCTTCAATGATTGATAAATAACCACTAACGTATAAAAGTGTACCACGCGAAATTTTTGTTGTAATTGGTAACAAATGGCTATCTTTGGGAAAATGATATAAGTTAAACAAAAGAAAACTATTATTTGATTATCAATATATTCTCTTGCATTTAAATCTAGAGTAACTTTATCAGTTCCAATTTCAGGATTACCAGACACAGTACCTATCAATATAACAGATAAGGAAGATCTTGGAAGATCTTCTTCGTCAAGATTAAGTATGCATATATCAGATGCTACAACCTAATTTTTCATTTATACATTTATTTATATTAATAAAATACATTAATTAAAAAAGTACAAATTTATTATTTAATTTATTTAATACCTTAATAAGTTTAACTTTACTTTCGTTGACTTCTGTTTCAATTATCGAAAATCTACCCTGAACCTTAATAATATCTCCTTTTTTAAATTTCTCTAAATTACTATCTTTTACTGAGTCTTTTGGATAGAAAGCTACAATATGAATATAAATATTCATATTTTGATTTCGAGAATTAACCAATCCTACAGCATTAGCTATGAAATTTGATTTTCCTGTCATCTCATTATATTGATCTACAAACAGATTACACTAATATTGCAAGGCATGATAGCGCGAAGGTTTAAGTTTTTAAATTTATTTTTATTTTTAATTTATTTTTTTTGGTAAATAAAAGCGTTGTATTTATTGTTTTTTTTTTTTTTTTAAGAAATGTTTGTAAGAATTTTTTTGGTAAATAAAAGCGTTGTATTTATTTTTTTTTTATTTTTTTTTTTCAAGCGAAAATTTTTTTTTCGATATCTTGTCTTGTTAGATCAAATTGGAAGTTTCATACATAAATAATAATGTAAATAAATAAAATAAAAATAATAACAATAAAAATATAAACAATAAACGATATCACAATAAACAGTTTAAATCACATGATCGTGAATACTTGTCAACTCAAAAATTTATTTATACAGGTAATCTAAACGTTACCAATCTACATATATTTTTTTATAAGTATAGATTATTTATTATATAATATGTATTTTATCTTTTAAATACTTAAAAAACTTTATAATCATCTGGTTAAAACTTATATAGAATATTAATTTTAGTTTAAGAATGTGGATTATTAGCATAATTAGAGATATTATTACAATGAGAATCACAAGTACCAAATGTTAGACTAAAAGTTTGATTATAATGAATAGCATATGAAGCATTATTATTAATAATATAACCTACTTATGCAGTTTAAAGGATTGTTTTACTTACATTTTAGAATATAATACTGCTATTAGCTGTACTATAATCACTTCCTTCCTAATCAATCAGCTTAAATCCTCCTAATATTTGCTCTTAATTATAATTTTTACTACAACTATAGTAGCCCCTTTGTTATTACATTTTTGATGAAATGTAATAGGTATATCATTATTCCTACTGCCACGATAAAATAAATCAAACTTATAAAAAATATTTTTTTCATTATAATGCAATTTATCGATCAAACTGAATAATATATCAAAATACTGATATTTAACTAAGATTGAATTACAAGCTGACTGTCTATAATATCTAGGTAGTTGTATATCAATATTTGATTTGAATTCTTATTTGATGCCAAATAAAATGATTACAGGTTAACAATTTAATCCTTCAATAGAATTCTTTATAGGGAAGTATTTTTTAAGAAAATTTTTGAAAACGTTTGATAAAATCTAATTAAAGAAATATATCTAGGAAGAGCTTTTTTCATAATTGTAATTTTTTCATTACTCTATTTGTTAATGTCTTTAGGAATATATTGATTTTGAGTAATATTTCACTTAATTAAACTATCTCAAATATCAATTTTGTATAAACTTAAATTATCCTGTTTTAAAAATAATTCTAATAAAGATGCTTTTATACTGATAAATTTATTAGAATTAAACAAAATTTTAGGATTTTCACAAACTTTTTTCAACATAAATTTATAAGCCTTTTTTTTATGTTAATAAATTATTTCAAGTGTTTCCATAGTTTTTTTTTTTGTAAAAACTTATAATGATCTTTAATTAATTATTTTTAATTCTAGAAAGTAAAGGTTATAGATTAAAAGCATATTTTGCAATTGAAAACTTTAATAACTCTGATTTTCAAACTTTATCAAATCAATCTTTTTACAATAAATAAATCTGAAAATTAAAAAGGAAATAATATATTATTAATAAACTAGTTTTTATTATTGATGGAATATTTAAAATAAATTTCTATCCCTTATTTCAAAATTTTTTTTAGTTAGTTCATTATAAAAATATTGTGATCTGATACATAAAATATTTGAAAATACGTATAATTCTTTAGCACTTTCTGACATATTTAATGTTACAGTTTTTGTCAGTTTAAGTAATTTTTCAAAATCATTAATAACTACTTATCAATATTTAAAGACATTTTTTTTTTAAAAAAAAAATGAAAGGAAACTATTTAATGACTAATTTAAAATTATTTAGCTAAATTTAAATAATATCAATCAGAAAATAATGTTATACTACAATATATTAAACAATCGCATAGTGATTTGAAAAATTCTTTAACTAGCCAAATTATGTAGTAAATGCATACAAATATTATTATTAAAATAATATATTTAGCATATAAAAGTATCTAAAATATTGAATTTTCAAATAATTTGCGCAAATAAAAAAGTATATCTAATAAATGAATTATTGTATTAGAAAATTTAGAAGAAATTTGCAAATTAAAATAATTAAATATGTAGTTTCTATATAGGATACCTCAACTTACATTATAGAAGTTATAATGATATCTTATTACATATAAATTACTTGCTTATGTTCAAGTCCAAAAAATACAAAAAAATGTGATAAACTCAATATTAAGAATCTCTTTGAAAATTTATTTTATTAACATTAATAAAAGAAATGATTAACCGCTAGTAAAAGAATAATCAATAATAATTGAATTCATAAAATTTGACAATTGATGGTCATTTTTATGTGATAATTTAATTAGCTAATAAATAAGTAAAAGTATACAAATTAATATATTTCATTTACAAATAGAAGATTTCTTCATCCTGATAAATTTGTATTTATTGTAAACATGATTTGATTTATTTTGTTAACATAATTTGCTAAAAACTTTTGAAGAACAATATAAATTTGCATATATATTGCTTGAAATATTGATAGATATATATTTTTATACTTTTTCGCATTTCTTTTATTTTGCTTTCAAATATTTTAAGGCACGACATTTGTAATCCAATAACAATAACTCCAGATTTTTTAGTATTCATATCTTCTCTAGTAATTTCTAACAAATAAAAAAAAAATATATTTTTATATAATTAAGACAGTAAAAAAAATCAAAAAAAATTAATACATATTATTTTTAACTATAATATAAAGTAGTAGCATCAGTTACTGATTTTTTTGAGATTAAAAGAAAATTTTCATGCAATCAATTTTAAAAATTGGATTATGATTTCTATCATAATCATTTGAATAGTTTTATAATATGATCATAAATAGATTTAATTTTATAATGAGTAAAAATAGGATATGGCCTTATTTTTTTGTCTTCAACTTCAATTACTTTATAATAAAAGATGAGACTATTACTATTTAATGTGAATATTTGAAATATTTTTCTGTTTCATAATTTTTAAATGATTCCATCTGTGATTGCAAAAAAATTCTTTATAATTGATAATAAAATAGTAATATGAAAGAAAAAAGAAATTTAAAGTGAAATATTTATTATAAAAAAAATGTATTATATTCGATTATGTATAATTTCAAGTTTTACAATTAGTTAAGGAAAAAAACTGTTAATTTGATTTATCAAATAATAATAATTTAGTTCTACATTAACAGATAATATAATATTTGCTATTGCTTTTTGAAGCTATGATTAGAATTTATATATTTGAAAATTATGTTATAACTATTATAAAATATGCCGATTCATGAAATTGATTACAAAATATTTTTTATATAATTCTTAACTTGCGATTAATAATAGCAAAGGATAGTATCTTGGAAATATTTAGTGTAAATTTTCATAAATTATAGTATTAACTTTTATTAGGGAATTCACGTGTTTCGACTATTAAGAAATAAAATCGTAATTTAAAAGAAAAATTTTAAAAAAACCTATTATATTATTTATTAATTTGGAAGTGAATTTAAATTTAAATTAAATTAAAGATATTAAATTCGTACTAAAAATAAAACCATTTAAACCCTTTAAAATATTACAATTACTATTAGAAATGAATGAATGTAATAATTACAAATTTTAATCATATAATAGTAATTTTTATAATATAAATACTTTATATAATTTTATACAAAGCTTTAATTCTTTTATTGAGTATAAAATTGATTTTAAAGAGAATACTCAAAATCATTTTTACAAAAAGTATCTAATGCTATCTTTCTTAGAGTGATAAGTTAAATTAGAAATAATAATTTAAATTTAATCTATAATACCTTAATAGACTTTAGTTTTACTTTAATTAAAATTTAATGTTATATAATTAATAATCATTTCAAAAGATTTATATTTCGTTAGAAAGTTGTTAACAGAAAGTTATAAATAAAATAAATAGAATAAATAGATAAAGAATAAAATAAATATTACTCAATTAATCTCTTGATTTATAATTTTATCTAAAATTAAGATAGCGTTTTGGATCATTTTCTTATCTTCTATAATTTTTTTTTATATCATCTTCTATCATATCAATTTTTTTTATTTTTTGAGTCTATACTATCAAAGTTAAGGATTGAAATAGTTTCAAAAATCAAAATCAAAAATCAAAATCGGCAAATTTGTTTTTAAGTCAATTTTTTAATTTTTTTAAGAATAAGACAGTTGTAATAAGTTATAAAATCAATTTAGAGATTCATTTATAATATTAAGATATTTAAAAACAAAATTAATCAAAAATTTTGTTTTACAAAATACTTGTTAGAATTGTTGAAAGATTTTTAATTTTTTTTATTTTCTAATTTAAAATTTTTTTTAATTTACAATTATTCTCTATAACAAAATATTAAATTGATCACTCAAAATTAAATTTAGTAATTCACTTTTAATTATTTAAAAGACTTGACTTTTAGTAGAAAAGACATATATCGACTTTATGTAACTAACTTTAATCATGTTATTTAAAATCATCATTAAATAATTTTGACAAGTTTAAGATTCAAAATTGTAATTACAATTAACTTTTAACTTTGGCGATTTTCTGACTTTGGATTCTGAACTATAATTCAGCATAGAGGTTAAAACAGGTTTTATTTTTAATAATAGATTTTATATCTTTTTCAAAATAAGAACTTGTTTAAATTATTTGAATCCAGTTTTAAATAAAATTAATTTTAACCAGTTTTGCAATTTTAATAACATCAAATTGCAATAATCGTTATTTATTAATAAATATAAAACATTAAAAGAGAATAAATTTAAAGTTATTAAAAATGCAGTCAATTAAATCATTTATTAAATTCAATTAAAATATAACATTAATTTTGAGATGAAAAAATATTAAAATA